CACACTACAGCTTACAAGACACCTACAGCCTTTCAAGACACCTCATCCACAAGAACCCTACAGTCTTTCAAGACACAAAAAGCCTTTTTAAAAAACATACGTCTCACAAAAAACACTACAGTCTTTACAAGCACACGTAGCTTACAAGGGGCACATACAGTCTTTCAAGACACCTAGAGTCTTAAAAGACACCCTTTTTACAAGACACACTACTGTCTTACAAGACAACTACTCTTACAAGAACCCTGTAGTCCCTTTCAAGACACACTGTAGTCTTACAAGACACACTACAGTCTTACAAGACACACTACAGACTTACAAACACACAACAGTCTTACAAGACACACTGCCCGCTTTACAAGACGCAATACGGTCTTAATAGACACACTACAGTCTTACAAGACACGCTACAGCCTTACAAGAGACACTACAGTCTCACAAGACACACTACGGTCTTTCAAGACACACTACAAATCTTACAAGACACACTACAGTTTTTACAAGACACCCTTACAGTCATACAAACACACTATAGTCTTACAAGACACACTACAGTCTTTAATAGACACACTTGGTCTTAGAAGACACCCCTACAGTCTTACAAGACACACTACAGTCTTACAAGACCCCATTTCAGTCCTTCAAGACACACTCCAGTCTTACAAGACACACTACAGTCTTACAAGACACACTACAGTCTTACAAGACACACTACAGTCTTACAAGACACACTACAGTCTTGCAAGGCACACTACAGTCTTGCAAGACACACTAGAGACTTACAAGACACACTACAGTGTTACAAGACACACTATAGTCTCACAAGACACACTACAGTCTTACAAGACACACTACAGTCTTACAAGACACACTACAGTCTCACAAGACACACTACAGTCTTACAAGACACACTACAGTCTTACAAGACACACTACAGTCTTACAAGACACACTGTAGTCTTACAAGACACACTACAGTCTTACAAGACACACTACAATCTTATAAGACACACTGTAGTCTTACAAGACACACTACAGTCTTACAAGACACACTGTAGTCTTACAAGGCACACTGTAGTCTTACAAGACACACTACAGTCTTACAAGACACACTACAGTCTTACAAGACACACTACAGTCTTACAAGACACACTGCAGCTTTACAAGACGCACTACAGTCTTAATAGACACACTACAGTCTTACAAGACACACTGTAGTCTTACAAGACACACTACAGTCTTACAAGACACACTACAGCCTTACAAGACACACTACAGTCTCACAAGACACACTACAGTCTTACAAGACACACTAAAGCCTTACAAGACACACTATAGTCTTACAAGAAACACTACAGTCTTACAAGACACACTGTAGTCTTACAAGACACACTACAGTCTTACAAGACACACTACAGTCTTACAAGACACACTGTAGTCTTACAAGACACACTACTGTCTTACAAGACACACTACAGTCTTACAAGACACACTGTAGTCTTACAAGACACACTGTAGTCTTACAAGACACACTACAGTCTTACAAGACACACTACAGTCTTACAAGACACACTACAGTCTTACAAGACACACTGCAGCTTTACAAGACGCACTACAGTCTTAATAGACACACTACAGTCTTACAAGACACACTACAGCCTTACAAGACACACTACAGTCTCACAAGACACACTACAGTCTTACAAGACACACTACAGTCTTACAAGACACACTACAGTCTTACAAGACACACTACAGTCTTACAAGACACCTACATCTTGCAAGACACACAAACAGTCTTAATAGACACACAACAGTTTTTAAAAGACACACAACAGTCTTACAAAAACACACTACAGTCTTACAAGACAACTAAAATTTTTACAAGACACACGCATCTTAAAAGCACAGTACAGTCTTACAAACATTTGTATTTGACAGACGAGGGGATTTTGGACATTTTTATGATTGAGACTTCGTCCAATAAATGTCCCGGGCATGTGCTGTATATCTGGGGTTTTAACACCCTGTGTGTTCGACCGCTAGACAGTTACTATTTGCTTTTTCCCATCTAGCACTTTTTTCTGACCCCGTGTACCCATTGGGTTCTTTAACAAACGCTGTTCAGTCAACAAGAACAGGATTGGTGTGATTGTGTACCCGTGTCAGGTGTTGCTGTTTTGAATCACAAATCCATTTCAAGCATTTTGTTCCCTAACGCCTTCCCAGCGGGCTTTCTGACCCCCCCGGAATTCACCTGCCCCTATTTTCAGTTACACACAGGGGCCATTTGGAGCATAACTATCTAGCTGTCTCTAACTGCTACTGACAACGTAATGTAGAGTATGTTACTTCCACGGCACAGAGGCCGCTGTTGGTCATCTCTGTGTTGATTAACAGTTAATAACGAAGGACCAGTTGCCTGTAGTGGCAATGTTTCTCTTAGTCACTGGTACCATCTAGGTTCTAGCTAGTTCCGGTTACGTTCTATCTAACGGTTCTGTAGAACCACGTCCGGTGCTGCCTCAATCTTCTTCCTCTGTTTTTCCCACAGCCCATCAAGAGAGGTTCCTTGATGCTGGTGAGGGGCTCTTGATCTAGGGAATTGGATCTGTGCTCCAGTTCCCCTGTATTGAACCTGAACGCCTTTCATCCCCCCTACATGTGCTGTATAACCCTGTGGGTTTAGCGCTCCCCCATGATTATAAAAATAATAATTATAATGTTGTCCCACAGTTCGCGTTTTCAAAGCATTTTCATTGTGTCTGTGAGATCTGTGGTTTGATATATACTGAAAAGTAAGATATGAAGACTGTATACGCAAGTATCATTAAACATTATTCTTCGGAGTAGCTAAATATTTTCTGCTGATGTACGTACAACTAAATTTAATCACAAGATGATAACAGTTGGCCAATTTGTTGTTTCCACATTTGTGGAGTGGTGTCATTCTATATAGGAGAGAATACGGTTTATTTATACAGTGTATTGCACTTTCAAAGGAAACATTACAGCACTTTACTGTTCTCAGTTATTATATAATTTTACACTTTATTAGGATGTTCTAGGTTTTATAAATACTGCTAGAAAAAATAAAACGAAGATATTAAATAGTTTAATATGTTCCGTGTTAGGTGTCTTATGAAAGTTATCTGATAGGAACAAGTCACTATTAAAATACGACAGAAGTGATGAATAAGTGGTACTATATATAATTATTAACCCACACGTACACGTAGGCTAAGAATGTATATTTGTCTGCATAATCTTATAGAAGTCAATGGTGAATCAAGACAAATTTTTTTTTTTTATATTTTCAGAGGAAATCGTCTGGAAGATTTTTTTTCGATGGGATCTTGATGGGTATTGCAGTATACTAGTACAGGATAGTCGGAATAGCTTTGGCAGGTATCTGGAAGTTAAGGAAATTTTCAGACCCATCTGTTACGGTCAAGTCTTCTTCCACATCATTCCTGTAATCACATAATGTATAAGTATCTAGATCTACCACAATAACTTTGTAAGTTAGTGAAGAGTATATTGACCAAGTTACGTAGTTCGCTCTTGATCCATTAACATGTGAACAAATGCCTAACAAGATTATTATTATAAAGGGAAATTAATTGCATATTTGTATCAAGAATTTAATTGAGTTAAAAATTTGTAGTGTTAGAAATCCTAAAGATCACCTACGACACCTTGATTAGTAGAGCTTCGAGAACTGGTGGTGGACGCTTGTAGGTAGAATTATCGATGTAAGAATACAATTACATTAACATGAAGAAACACTGCAGTAGGCCTATTGACCCATGCTAGGGAGGTCAGGCTTACACCCAAACATATCCACTCATATACCCGTTCAATATATATTTAAAACAACCCAGTTCTCGCCTTAATGACGCTACTTGGAAGTTTGCGTTACTCCGCTGAGCAGCATAATTTTAAACGAAGTTTTACCAAAGATATATAAAGTTACACTCTTTGATATGAAGACTAAGAATTCTAGTAGCTGTTGCACTGTTGTCTTGGCTTCAAATCTCTGCTAATAAGAACTCCTTAGTCATTTTTGCATTCAGTGCCATAGTTTTTTTTTATAAGTGCCATGTGTTTTTCTTGTCCTAGGATAAGAACCTTACATTTCTCCCTATTGAACTGCATCTGCCACCTCTCCGACCACAACATCAACCTATCCAGGTTATCCTGTACTTTCTAATCTTCATCAGAAGTTCTTAGGTGTCTTATTTTAATGTCTGCAAATTTACTTTTGTTATTATTTATCCCCTCATTAATGTCGCTTTTGTAGATTGTGAACAAGTGCCTCAGTAATGACCTCCGTGGCACACTAATCGCTGAAAGTCCCCAATTTGATTTCTCATCATTTATGCAAACTCTCTGTTGTGTATCAGTCAGTCAACATTCAAACCAGGAGATAAATTCTCTTACACTATGTACCTCTGCTTTCTTCATCACTTTGCTGTGTGGATCACTTTCAAAGTCTGGCGAAAATTCTTCATAACCTCATGACTGTCACATACAAAAAAATAATCGCTAAAAATGCAATTTGTACACCAAGGGTTTGTTGCTTACTTGTTGAGAATAACGACGACGGTGCGGCCTGACGGGTCATTGAAGGCAGCCACCTCAATGTTAGTCGCTGTGTCGTCCAAGTGATACGCTCAGCACCAGGGATCACGAACTTGCTCAAGTGACCAATAGTGTAGAACATTGGCTGCTTGTAAAACTCGTTCGCTTCCTGTACAGGTGAAATATGATATACAATGCTGTGAATCACTGAACTTAGTTTTTGTTTTTGTCTGCAGTATTAGAATTATTGACTGATTTAACCTTTCAAGGGGAATGCCTAGATGCTGGTGAAGGACTCTTGATCCAAGGAAGTCGAGCTACTTTCCTTTTCCTCGGATTAAATTTAATTGTCTCCCATTTCCCAAGCACTGTCTGGCTTGCAGTTTTAGCGCTTTCCTCTGAATACGCTAATGATAA